CATTTGTCTTTTTGAGACAGGGTCTCGCTATGCAGTTCAGGCTGGTCTTTAGCTCACTTTGTAGTCCAGGCTGGTCTCGAACTCTCAACGATCCTCCTCCTGTCTCAGCCTCCTGAGTACTGTATTACAGGAGTGCGCCACCATGCCTGGCTAGGAATTTTTAAAAGGGGAACAGTTTCTCCAAGGTTCCTGCTCAAAGTGTAAACCATCTCACCACCACAACCCAACCCCACCCGCTAAAACCCACCCCCACCCCACACCCATTTGCACTGGAGTTCACTGGCCCCAAACTTGGCTAAGTCTAAAAGTGGGTCTTCCCTGGCTTTTGTCCTACTGATACAGGAAAAAAACTTTCAACCTTAACGATATCTAGAAGTTCATGTTCTCTAAAATCTTAGAATGAATTTTAGGAACAACGGAGATTGAGAGCAGAATATACTTATTGAGGGAAAGAAGGCTTCTGTCCAAGAGAGGGAAAGAAGGGAACCTGAGGGGGTTGCCCCATACTCTGTCTTTTTTAGGGACTTTTATAGAGCAAAACCACGAGATGGGGTGGGTCCAAGGTAGGGGAAAATGGACAAAACTATGGTCAGCCAGTAAGAATTGTTCAGGTAAAATTGATTAAATTGGGACCAAATGGGGAAGCGAGTCACATTGCAAGCGGGGATAAATACAGAACAGGGGCTTTTCCTGTAAGGGGTTGGGGTCAGGGTCTCTTCAAGGTGATAGCTACCTATTTAGCATATCAATCCCTGATGTCCATCCCTTGAGAGGTAAGTGGGTGTGCTTGTTTAATCTTCTGTCTTGAGGTCTGGCCTACAGCAGATCTTATTTTGTCTTTCCTGTTGGCTCCTTCCAGGGCCTGGCCCTGTCTGACTGGCTATAATATTTCTATCTAACTCAGCTGCAGTTCGGATTACTTCTTTAGAGAGGGGAATGTTATAGGCAGCTGAGTAAGAAATATAAGCAGTCAGACAGGGCCAGGCCCTCCAAGGAGCCAGTATGGAAGACAAGATACCTTACAAATGGAGAGGTGGTCCTTGCTTCGGGCCAGATCTCAAGACTAAAGATTAAACAAGCACACCCACTTACCTCCCTAGGGATGGACATCACAGATTGATATGCTAAATAGGTAGCGATCACCTTGAAGAGTCATTGACTCAACCCCTTACAGGAAAAGCCCCTGTTCTGTATTCATGCCCGCTTGCTATGTGACTTGTTTCCCCATTTGATCCCAATTTAATCAATTCTACCTGAACAATTCTTATTGGCTGACCATAGTTTTGTCCATTTTCTCCTACCTTGAACCCACCTTACCTCGTAGTTTTACTCTATAAAAGTCCTTAGAAAAGAGAGTACGGGGCAACCCACTCGGGCCCCCCTTCTGTCCCTCTCTTGCATAGAAGCTTTCCTTCCGTCAATAAATATACTCTGCTCTTAACCTCCGTTGTTCCTAAAATTCATTCGTCGATTTCTTTTTTTTTTTTCTTTTTTGAGACAGGGTCTCCCTATGCAGTTCAGGCCGGCCTTGAGCTCACTTTGTAGTCCAGGCTGGTCTCGAACTCACAAGGATCCTCCTGCTTCAGCCTCCCGAGTGCTGCGATTACAGGGGTGCGCCACCACGCCTGGCCATTCTTCGATGTTAGAGAACACAGATTTGTCCTAGATATCGTTCAGGTTGGGAGTTTTTATTTTCCTATCTCACTACCTCCTCTATAAAAAGGAGTGCGTCCGCGGTTGAAGGCAGGGAGCAGACTAGCTGCCCTCCCAGTTGGCCAAATTGTGTAAACATTCTTGTTTCATTTTCACGGGTTCCTCTTCTGCCTGCGCTTGGTCTGGGCAGGTGAAGGAACTGTGTGACCCAGACGCGGGGCGGGATGGGAGCGCCGAACTCCCTCCAGGGCTGCGGGGTCACACACGGCGCGGGTGGCGTCGGCGGACCGCCCGCCCCGCACTGCGGGCGCCAATGCCCCGTCCCGGCCTTCGCGCCGCAACAGTGCGGGCCCTGCGCTCCGCTCTCCGAGCTCCGGACCCCGCGCCCGCACCGACACTGAAAGGCCCCGAGCCCGGCTGCGCACTGTCTCACGGAAACCTCCCGAGGGCGGGACGCGGCCCGGGGGCGAGCCCTCGCCCGGCCGCCCCAGGCCCCGGCTGCGGC